CCAAAACTATTATAATTTACTACCCATCGTATAAGTTTCAATGTTTTTTTCTTCGTATATATTTTGTAAGCCAGACAAACAAAAAAAAAAAACCTTTTCACAGTTATCTTTGCCTTAAATATTCATAGACAAACATAAAACAAAATAAAAATATAGTTTAAATATCAATAAAATGTACATAAAATTGATAAATTACATTATTTTCTATCTATCGACAAAAAAAAAAATATTTCTTAAAATATTTTTGTATTTTTATAAATTGCAATAACATTATTGTACTTACATAATTATAGTTAAATGATAAATATTGTACAGCACATACTATTTAATAAACCATTATAATTTGAAATTATTATGTAAGCGTGAAAAGTTTAAATTGAAAAAAATTAGCAAGTTCGTATAATTCAACAGACCAAAAACGGGCGCAACTAACCATATAATATAACTCTTCTCAAAATATAATACACATAAAATGCAATCGTCTGTGTTGGTATGTTTTATTTTATAGCACTCGCTATGAGTTTTTCAAGTCCTCTGAAAAATATTAGAGCATTTAATTTATCGTTTTAGTGTTACCCGAAAAGTATAGGTATTCCGGTGCAATGGGTCTCGTATTTGCCCGACGACTTATTATTTTTGTTTTAGTATCGCGCGTATAAGATTTAGATTTTTTTTTTCGTTACTATTATAATATAGAACAAGTATTACCCGCGTATCGGAGGTCGTATAGTTTTTGTTTTTGTTTCTACACCCTTTGCTATTCTTCTATGCGGGTTAAGCACACCACACGCCTAAGTTATGTGCTAGCCCCATCCGACTATCTCGGAGATATTTTTTCCCAACCGCAATTTATTTGGCACGTCCGCGACTATACGAGACCAATGAATCTTAACGCGCCACCGCCGCCACCTCTACTTCCGTAGTAAAACGGAATTTAGAATTTCTGGACGACACGCGGAGAAACAGTCGAAAATTTATACGCTGACGGGAAAATTTGGAAGGTCGTTTCTACCTATGTATAGTACGCGTTAGATCATCATTGGGCTATATAGGTAATAATATGGGGGTGAGTGGGTGTGGTCGTATAACTATAGAACGGAGAGAGTGAAAAATAAAGCAGAAATAAACGTTCCACCTACATACTCAGCGCATGAAATAAAAACGCTTTAAGACCAATTTCTTCTTTTGGTAGATCAAACGCACCCTTATTGTTCGCAATTCGCCACCCACCACCGCATGACCCTATACGTTCGGTGATAGGGTTACTCGGGGGCTTAATCATATGCGTGGGCGTCTTCTTTCTAACGTCTCATAGTGTTTTTTCCTCCCCCTCTCTCTTTAAACGTCAAATGTCGTGAAGAAGTGGGGAGTGAATTAAAATTTCACAACCTTAAAACCGTTTTCGGGAACTTAGTTCAGTTTTGAGCATGGACCAGTGGATCACGTATCAATATCCTGACGGGTACAGCTACTACACCAATAACAATAATTGTAATTACAACAATTACGGTTACGACTATAACCATGCCAACTACCGGTATCCAGAGGTAAAAACACACACCTGCACACAATCGCACTTACTCGCAGACGTTCTTATTGTTATATTATATTATTATTTGTATTTGGTACCGTAATAATAATAATTATTTGTAGATCAATTACGCTAAAATTGTTTATTGTTAGAACACGACAAATCGCTTTAGTTATTAAGACTTAGAATTTTGTAATGATGTAAAACCAATGTGCTCTTATTTATTATTATTATTATTATTATTATTACTAATATGAAAACACTGGAAATAATAAAGTTTTATTTTCTAGAATGTCGCCAAATACTGTTAAAAATGTTGTGCTTATTATTTTTTCTCTTAGCGTATACTAGTTACTATTTACAATGATTTAGCGATTAATTAGTTGCATAATATTTGATAGAACTACATACTTTTATTACTGGATGTATTAATTTTACAAAAAAAACTATGTAAAACAGTAAAAAATAATCAAATAGATAACCTACATTAACATATTATTTTATATTGCATAGATGTAATACAAATTTATTTACTACAACGTAATTGTCTTTTGTTTTATTTTGTATTATCGCTACACGAGGTAGTATAGTATAAGTAATGATGAATTATTAGTAGATTTTCGTTTCCAATGTAATGCGTATTAATTTTTGTTGTTAAACCAAATATATCAAAGTATAATAATTTAAAATCGATAGTAATATTTTGCTCAGGACCTTTGTAATGGTTTTAATTTTGATAGCAATAGCTTACCATCCATTTTCAGAGATCATCCCTTCGAACGTGAAATTATAAAACATTAACCTATGATATTATTTTAATGCATCGTCCATAAATAAACATTATTGTTTTCATTTTAAAAATTGATTTATTTTCAGGAATTTAATTTATAAAACAATTAAATTTAAATTTATCTTTAACACCGTTAGGAATATATTTCTTTATAAGTATTTATTATTCCCTAAAAAAAAAAAATATTTTACACCTATAATAAGAAGATGACATTTATTCTAAGATTAGTCTAACCTAACAAATCAAATTTCAAGTACAATTTTATGTAAAATCAATATTTTGAAAAGTTTCTTGGTTAAAAGTTTCATTTTAACGAAACAAAACCACGTCCAAATACCTACTCTTACTAAATTTAACTTTTTTTAAATTGCCAAAAAACAAAAAAAAAAAAAAAAAAAAAAATGAACATTTTATCAAAAATTATTGACCTATAGATTCTACAAAAGTTTTTTTCTTTATAAAAACATATTATTATTAACCGTGGTACTATATTTTTTACTCAGCAATTTAACATAAAACAATAGTGACCAATATATTTTATGTACGTTACAGTTAATGATGTATTTAAATGGTTTGATCTTAGTTTATAACAATGATTATGATTTTTTCATTAATATCATTATTATTATTATCATTTGGTAAACATAATATAACATATCATACATCAGTAGTGAGTTTAAAAAAACTCATAACATTTTGGAGAAATAAATTACTGAGTTTATTTTTCAATAAATATTTAATGGGTTTATGTTTTTTATATTTGGTTATAAATTATATACAAGTACGAATCTGTCAAATAATATTAGTAACAATATAGCTAATCAATGAATCGATATATTTTGTTCGATAGGAAAATGAATACAGCCGACGATATTTTATTTTTCAAAATATCTTTAGACTCCTTAATAAATCTAAATAGTTAATGCACTACAATTGTTATTATAACTGACATGTTCAGTTGCTTACATAATGTTATTATTAAGACGTGCACTTTTACGCTATTTTATGTTATAATAATATTGTAGGCGTGTCTGCAACTTTTTATTCTCGTCGTCTCTGTATATATTATTATAAATCATAATGCAATAATATGTAAACGTTATTTGCAGTGCGATGAGTACAAACGTTGTTTCGTTATTCCACCGCATCGTGTATAGCCCGAGTCCTAACCCCGTCCCTTACACGACATTCAGCCCGTTTTCGAAATCTTCGTCTACCCATTTCTATATATATATATATATATATATGTATGTGTGTGTGTGTGTGTGTGTACATATTTTATATACATATATATATATATATACCTATATAGGTACGGAGTGGGAGAAGCAAGCGCAGGCGAAAAGAGCTTTTCGTCGAGCGACTATTGAATTAAAACCTCTCGCGTTCATTGTCGTCGAAATCCAATTAGTCGCACCTCCGGCGACGATGGTGGCGATTGGCGGTGGATGCGATGGTGTAGGGAGGCTGTTTTTTCGACGGGCTTTCGGAATAATAATAATAATAATTTAATTTCGATTTAAACGGGACGGTGCGTTCGTTTTGATCGAGAGTAGAGAGCGGAGTGGAGTTTTCCGGTTAAACTCATACACCGAACAATTTTCTACGACTAAACCCCGTAAACGAGGCACAGACGATGACGATTGAACATTTTCCATTTTTTCTCCCTTCTTTTCGGCTTTTTACATTATGTTTACCGAACGAACAAAATATAATATATAGTTTGCGCAAAATAATGACACGTTTTTCATTGTTGGGCGTGGGTACCGTTCTTCAGCGATATTCCGACAGTTTAAAAAAATTAAATAAAAATGAAGACTGTTCTTTTTAAAAATTACGAGAGGTGGAAAATAATTACTATAGGTACCTATTTTCACAAGCATATTATTACTTTATGTTATAATATATACATGTTATTTTTAAAACCATCATAATAATAAAAAATAGTCCTTTGTTTCGTCAATTTAACTTTTCTGATTACTTTTTCCTCAACGTTACCATTTTGAAAACAACGTATTTTATTCATAAATAAGACGAATCATATTAAAATCTTACTAATAACTACATATCTAAAAATATTTTTATGCATAGCTCTTCCAATTACAATATAAACAGTCTAAAGCGTAGTGATGTTAATTTTTTTACGTATTAATACCTAACCATCGAAAAAGTTGTTGGTTATTATTATTACAAACAAAAATTATTATAAAAATAATATAGTATTATAATATAATAAAATTTTAGATATTTTATAAAATTCCAAATTTTCAATTGCTCATTGTTATGTTTATCCAAAAAAAAATAAAATAAAATAAAACACTGAAGGTCTAATTTAATGAATTGAAGTATTAAAAAATAAATTCACACTACAAATTACAATAAATTATAACAACATGAAAAAATATAGAATCTAAACACATGATTCATGTAATAGAATTTGACAAAAATGTCAAATAGTACAAAAATAAAATTATTTATGCTCGTATTTTGCCTATAAATGTTTCACATCATTACCAAAATAACCAACGATTCCGTTGATTTTTTTCGTTAGATTTTGAGTCTATATATTATATATATATATATAAATATATTATATTATGCACTTCGTATAATAAGCAAATATATGTGACGTAATATGCTGGTTTACTATAAATATCATAATATACATTTTTCTTTTAGACCTCGAACGGCCCAACAGACTCGGCGAACAACAAACAACAGCACTCACAACCCGCTGCCATTGCAGTACAACCTAAACCAGAACAAAAACCCGTTGAATGTAACCTGTGCCATCGAAAGTTTAAAAACGTACCGGCTCTAAATGGACACATGAGGCTGCACGGAGGATACTTCAAAAAGGTCAGTAATTTTATTTGTGTGCACGGACATTTCTTTGACCAGACACGTTACCCTGCGCTGTATACATAATGTAAATATTATATTTTTTAATACACGATTCTAAGTATAAACGTGTTTGATACAAGATTCAGTGCAAATATATGTACTTCACTCAAACGTATTCCATATTGTAAATTAAAAATGTAATAAAAACATAAAAGCAAATACATTTTCAGTTTATATGCTTACAGAATCAAAGTTTATAAATATTCATTTTAAAACCAAAATAATTTTAAGGTATATGGTTGATGTAATTTTTATTAGAAATTTTTGACGACGTTTATTCTTTACTATATTTTTATTATTCCGTTGCATAAAAAATTTAATTTTTAATTCAATTTTCGTGATATAGTTAAAGTAATTTATGTATTAAACAATTTTGTTTTTATTTTACATTTTTTATGAAATATAATACACGCAATTATTAATATTATACTGACAAATACGAGTAGGTTGTAAGTTTGTTTAAGAAATTATAATTTCGAGCTAAAACAGTAAGGCAAGGTTCAGCTTTTTACATACAAAGCATTTGTATGTATGGTACCCTTCATACCGTCAAAATGACATATACAGTCTAATTTCCAGCAACATGCGTTTTTTTCCACTGCACTACCCAATCCCGGCAGTTAGATTTGACCCGTAATAAAGATTTTTTTTCTCTCTCGCTTTCCCAGAAAATTCCTCCTGCCTTCTGGTTCACTAATTAACGTACAGCCGAAATTTTAACCAATTATCTCTACTACCTCGGAAATCCCGAAAGGTTTAACGAGACGTGAGCTCGATCAATGGGAAATACTAAATGAGAGGAAAACACGGGGTGGGATGGAAACCATGTGCACATCCAAATTGAATTTTTCATTTACAAGGCTTCACACTTTCCTGGATTCAGTTTAAATCAGGGCGGAGGAGTAGGGGCTAACAGTTATCCGATGTTCAAAGAGATAGAGTATGACAAAGAGATCTATGATAACGTTTCTAAAAGAGATTATTGACGATGACTTCAAAAGAATTGTTTTTGTACACTCGTATATGGATTTAGGTATCTATATATTATTTATGTGTATACTGCGCTTATGTATATGTTTATGTACAAACATATATTATGTAGCGCTGTAGCAAAACTAAGTCCTCAGCAGTACCAAATTGAGAGCTCGAGTGATTGAGAATGAATTGAATCAGTATAACTACTAAGTATAATTAATAAGTATGATTAATTATTACTTCGTTGTAAAACGCAAGTATTTATAGTAGGTATGCACAAATAATATATAATACAACTGTTAGAATTCCATTGAAATTTATCAGTCATAAAGTTAATGCTCGCGATCAATCAATATTACTTGCAGACTTCAAAATATAAAATCAGTTCAATAACCGATTGAAATATAAATTATAACTTTGAACGAAACTTTTGTAATATAATTTCATATATTTACGAGTATATTAACATTGTTTTTTCTCAGGTTTTTCTGCATTATTTTATAAAAAAATTACAGATAAATACATTTATCAATATAATTCAAGACAAAATATACATATCATATTTTAAAAACACATACGAATAATATAATAATTTTAAAATGACTATAATAATAACTGCTAAAACTATCTAATGACTAATAAACCCATTGAATTTTCTCCGAATTAAAATTCTTAACTTGCCAAAATGTAAATATTTATAAATTGTTACCATTTTATAAAAAAATGTGAACGTGCATGATATTAAACATATTAAATACAACATCTACTAATTATTATTTAATTTTTTAATTCCCCATATAATATGTACTTTATAAAACAATTTCATTTAATAAGCAATACATAATAACCTAATCAAGTTATTATCTGACTGTCTAGCAACTTTCACTGTTTTTCACGTGTATTAAATTACCAACAAAACTCGTATTTTTTTCAATAAAATCATATCCCTTTACATATTCTCATTAAACAATTAGAAAAACAATGAATGTGACGTTTGAAATTGCCACCAATACGAGTATAATATTAATTAATATTAATGCATTTAAACTATTCACAGAATTATTTATGCAATGTATTTATTTTTATTAATAAATATGCAATAATATTATACTAACAATTAACATGTTATAACAACTCGAATACCGGATTTAAATCCACCCATAATATAAACTGATTTTTAAATTTTTAGAACTCATTATGGATAAAGAAAATGATAAAAAAAATTGAAATATTAAACTTATATTTTTAAATTAAAAAAAAAAAAAAAACGTGAATATTAACTAAGCTCATTTTACGAAAAAAAATATTCTCTATTCGTAAATTTTCTTGAATGAATTTCGAGCATGATATTTCATAATGGCAAATTGTGCATAAATCAATACCAGTACGGGAAGTATAGTCCCTCACTTCATTTCATTGTTAGTTAAATCAATTAACATCGAAAACTATTATCATAAACAACCCTTTTACAAGTCGGGTCATGTCTTTGCATATATGCATATAAGTGCACTTGTATACATAGTATTTATATATATGTATATGGTAGTATGCCTATTTAGGTACCTATTAATCTATATATGAACGAATAACGTGCAATGCGATTTTATAACCGTACTTCGAGTTTGTACCTGTTCCAATACACATCGCCAATATTTATATATATGTACGTATATATCCTTAAGGAAACATAACACAGAGGTTTCCTACAGAGATATAACGAGTAACTGAAAACCAATTTGAATATTTTTCACAACGGCCGGAAATGTTTTACAAAGAAACGGATATTTACATTGAACACTCAATCAAACTTTCGTATTTACACTGACGTACTCGGCGAACAAATCACTTTGTGTTTACGAACGTCGTTTCTTAGGTTTTTGAAGGAAAATAACCTTTTTCTTCTTTGATCTCGTTTCAGACTATACTGCATTAAAAGCGGGAGTTTCCCATCCCTTTTTATTACTATTATTATATATATATATATATGTATAATTTTTTTTCATGACAATTATTCACCTCTAAGGCAGACAGTTTTATTTAATAAATTATGTCGTAGCTAAGGACTAAAAAGGAGATATTGCTGTCATATTACTTTTTATTTTATTTATTTTTTTTTTTTTGCTTTTCATTAAATTAGAAAAATGCGTTTACAAAAAAAAAGTTATAAACTGCAATAAGAAAATAAATGTATGTTATATGTTTCAAATTAAATTACAAAATAAATGATGTTTACTATTTTAGAAACATTTTCATTTTCGGAAAAAAATTAAATAGAGTGAGATTGCTATCATTTTTTAATTTCGTAATGTGTACTGTATTTGAAGACGCCTAGGGTCATACTTTTCACAGAAATCTTTGTCTTTCATTCATGTACGACTAAAAGATTATTTTTCACCATCGCTTATATATTATAATACATAATATCTACCACAAAATTATTTTAATTTCTAGATAGTTATTGTACAAATCAAAAGTAATTCAGTATATTAAATATTGAACATTTCTGTGTCATAAATTTTGAGAAAAATGTGTTATTAGATATAACATCAACTGATTTTACAATATTATATGATTAAAACTAAACTCAAGCTTTTAATGATGTTTTTCTTCACGCTAAATATTAATGTTTAAAAATAATACGTTAAACAAAATATTAATTAAAATAAACATTTTTAAAATATAATTAGCCATTTCTCATTAATTTATATTATGATTCTCAGATTTTTTACTTCGGTTCATAAAAAAATTTAACTTCATCTTTAAGTTGTTTCCAAACAATTTATATTACTAGCTATTAACTTTTTACTAATTTAGAAACGTTTTATTTTATTTTTTATAGTAATTTACACTCAGTTTTTAGGCCATGTTAAAAATTTACGAGTTTGAAATTAAAGCCAGATTGCCAAACTTTGTGATCAATAGGATTCGTTTACGACTTAGTCCGTAGCATGGCGTACATGACATAATTATTAAAAAAGTAAATATAGTGAGAGAGAAAGTCTGAGTTCTTGATTGGAAACAGTAAAAAATTGACTTTATTGTAAACGTAATTTAAGAGTAGTATTTAAAGTAAATATTTAACATTCAAATTTTCAACTGATATTTCAAACAAAGTTGTAGTTAAAATAAATATATAAATTTAAACATAAAATAATATTAGTAACTAACTAGCATAAGTTATAAAAAAATATGCATAGATTAAATATAACTATAGATAAACATAAATAAATGTTTTCAATACTATAATTAAATTAATTTTAACAATGGATTGATTTATGTTGTATAATAATGTATAGTTTATACCTATTATAAATATAGACGAGACATTTAAATTTTAAATTTATTTTTAGTTTTGTAAAATAATTTTCAACATATTACTCGAGTCTCAAATTTTATTCCATTTGAAATAATACACTTCTTATATAATGTTATTAATGTTTAAAATACTACAAGTATTACGAATGACAACACAATATACATTTTAACTAGATATCCAGCAATATAGGATAAAATATTATAAAATTTATTATTTATATGAAATAAATATACACCTTGTAAAATTAAAATTTGTTTATGATATTAAACAGCTTAAATTCAGATTTATTCCATAAGTATTAAGGTTTTAAGATACTTAATTTAACTTTAAGAATTATAACATGCTAAATTTCCAAACGCCGTACAATAAATTATACTAAAATATCCTTTCGATTTCACGCATTGTGTTAAAACTTTAAGAATTGAAATCGCAAGATTTTATATTAATAGGAAACTTATCTAAATAAATTATACTTCTAAACATAAAATACATATTACTCTTATAATGCATTGTATATGACTGTATAATTTTTAACAATACCATAAATTAAATATATACCTATGTAGGTATAATGTAATAATTTACCAATAATACATAAATATAGTAAGTAATCAATATTATTTTTATGGCAGATAATTCGGATTTTATTACTTCATTCCTCACATTGTATTAGGGAATTGATAAAATATAAAGTATTTTTTTCAATTATTGTCAGTCATTATTATCTTCGTGATAAAAAGTTCATTGGAAAACATATCAATATTCTATATACCCTCTAAATCTGCATATTATGCCATTCTATCAAGTACGCCCCTGCAAAACAAATCATTATTTAATCCCGACAGACCGCTATATTATAAAACCATATGCAACGAATGTTTGTCTGTGTGCATGTGTGTGGGTGATTGTGGGTGTATACGAGTATTTGTATAGGAGTACATAGTTTAATATCTGCCAGCCTTTTCCTCCCCTAATATTAATTACAGAAATGCCCCACACGTCTCTCCTGCTGTTGCCTTGTATCGGCAAGAAGTCCCAAAATGTTTTGCCATTACTTTGCCTTACTCTATCCCGGTCAACTGATTTATCATGTTGATTACTATAGGGGTTCAGCGGATGCAAAAACCGCAAATGAACTATTTCGATCTCCAAAAAGGTGTTAGACTGTGGGCAGGAGAGCCAGAGAAAAACTTCACTGGATTTTCCAAGGGCATAGTAAAATTTACATTATACAAGAAAACAGACCCACAACTTCACCACATTCACGAACACGCCATGATTAATATAGTGATCGTAATTTTATTATAAAGTGCAAACCAACGAGTTTAGTGTATGCACAGTAAGAAATATAAAAAAAAAAAAAAAAAAAATTTAAATGAACATATTTTAATAATTTTTTACACATTTTTATAAAAATTATAATTTCTATTTTGAAGTGCTTGAAATTTGAAATAATATTAAAAAAAAATATATTAGGTTAAGAACATTCAATATTAAATTATTATGATAAAAATTATAATACAATCGAAAGTTATTTAAATATTTAATTTTTATTTGTTGTTATGTGATACCTAAATAAATGTTTCATTAAAAATAAAGCCATAAAAGAATTTTCACAACAATGTCTTTTTATTTATAATATTATTTCATATCAAAATCATTTTTAAATTAATAATTTATATACTTAATAGATTTATTATGATCAAAAATTACATCTAGTATAATTCATATGTATTTAAATTTGAAATAATAATTGTATTTGTACAAAATATTAATAATCTATGAAATAAACTTTTTATCTTTGTTTGTTTAAGATAAATTGTAAAAAGACAAATTATATGAATATTATAAATATTAATAAATTACAGAATAAAAATTATAGTTATTTTTTCAGAATATTTCTACTTTTCAATAATTTACTTTAATTACTTAAGATAAATTTAAAACAAAATATTTAAAATCTTTAACTAAATTTACTACCACACAGCTTTACTTCGATGATAATATTTTACTGTAAATACAATAATATAAATATTTCAATGTACCTAAAAATAATAAAAACACAAAATTTGCAATATTCGAGTCATATATAATAATATCCAACAATTAACATACACATTAATAGCTTTGAAAATTTCTAAATTGGAATAAAAAAATAAATTGAGCTTATGATATTTTTGAAAGATCTCAATTGGGTTATATTTTGTTCGGTTCGTTCAAAGATTCAGGAGATAATTAAGAACATGACAAATTATTTATTATCATAAACTATACGTCTTTAATTAAACTATTTTTAAATTAACTTTCGATTACGATAAAATATTTCTAATTTATTATCATTACTGTAAATTAATTCTATTATAATATTGTTTGATGATCAAAAACTATTTTTCACTTCAGAGGTTTCAAATTCTCTGAATGATGTTATTAAGCATAAAAAATATCAAATTAAATTTTGAAAATATATGCATTAAAAATAACAACCATAAAAGCTGAATCGTGTATTTTTTGGCGTTCAGTAGTTTTTTTCGTGTTTATTCTTCGGTTTTGCATTACCAAATACAACTAGATTTTTTCCTGTTCCTTCCTGAAAATATTCAACTCTTTTTTTCATTATTATTATTATATTTCCTCCCCCTATCCTATTTTATAAACGACCACAGAAAACCGTAGAACGTTTTTTTTTTTTTTTTAGAATTTTCGTACCAGAACACACAAATATAAATATAAATCACGGGTGAAGGGATTTTAAGTAAACACAATTATCTTAAACAAAATGTTTGATTAATTTTTAAAAATCGTTTCCAGGAAACTGACTCGAAGAAATGGGAAAAAAAAGAAGCATCAGGTCCACCCCTGCAAACAGCCAGCATGAGCGTCAGAGCTTTAATCGAAGAAAAAATCATACAAAAAAGGACCACGAAACCCAATTGTTCAACTCAAAATGGACTAACATATTCAAGTAAAAAAAATTTATTGAAAAATGTATAATAATAGTGCACGTAGTAAAACAATCTTTCATATGTAGGTGTAATATCAAGAACATTATGTATACTAATTTGTTTGTAAAATTATATTATCAGATTTACAATAATTAATTTAACTACCTATTAATTACACGGTGTAATATCACCATTTACTGAAAATCATAATAAAATATTTAAATGCTTAATAGTTCAGTTTTTAATTAATTTGAAAGAAATTTATAAAAATACTCTACAATTATTTGAAAAAAAAAAACTTTTAAAACTTTTTCAAATTGAATTAATTGGATTTCAATCAAACATTTTCAGCTTTGTTTTACAAGTTTTGTTTTTGTCAAACATGACATGTATTTTATACAAACATTGGAATTACTCATTTCCAATCACATTATTTGTTTTTCATCGTTAATCTAAATTTCAAAACGTTCATTCTTCCATTAACAGTCTGATTCAATTAGCTATACAATAATGTATTTTTTTCTATTTAAAGTAAACTAAATAAAAATAACGGATAAAAATAAACTATCATTAAAAAATTATGCTTACGAAATGAACATTTAACAATTTTACACTATGAAAATATTATTATTTTTAGGTATAAAATAAAGCTAAATAATAGATAAGCTAATGATTTAAGCAAATATATTTGAGAAAAAAAATTTTAAAAAAAATACGGATCTTTTTGTGTTGTTCCATTAAAGTATACACTGTTATAAATTCTTAAAATGCTAAAACAACAATGAGCACTTAATTGTTAAACAAAAACAACAACCGTAAATACTTAGCTACTTGTTCAATTTTCAATATAAATGTAGTTTAAATTTTCAGAAATTTAAAGTAAGTCATTATTACTAGAGTATATAAAAATAAAACCACGTTTTCTTTTATTTAACTTTTAAAATAATTTATTAATTATAGGTACTTGTCTTCTGAATTATGTGTATTACTATTGACTATATGTTATTTTAAATTATAAACTATAAATATAGACTCAATGTAAATGTAAACGTAATGATTATTTTATTTTAATTAAGTCATCATTATCGCCAAAGATGGCTTTTATGTGAAATTAAAGCTTTATGGCACATAGTTACCACTTACCTCTACCCTTTTTTAACTTAGATACGTTATTTTTTGTCTTCCATATTCATAGATGTACACCAAATAGCCCTTAAATAAATCTTGACTCTCTTATCAGCATTTGTTTTAGTTGCATCAAAGCTTCTTTTTTCAAGTAAATAGATTAAAAAAATATTTAATGCTGAACCACACAATAAAATAATATTCAATAAATAGTTGAAAAAAAAATTGAAAATAAATACTAGAATTATAAATTGCCTCTTGAATTGAAATATTGACCTTAAAGCTTTACAGCGATGTCTGCACAAAAAATAAGTAATAAAGAAACAATACAACAAGACTAGTAATTAGATTATTTGAACCAATCTTAAAATTGTCTTGGATCAAATTGTTTTCTTTTATTATTATTGTTATTACAGACAAAAGTATTAAATATAATAATATTTGAATCGTATATAAAAATTACAAGCATTTAGTTAATACAAACCTTAAAAAAATATATTGATTTATTGTATCATTATTTATTTGTATAATCCTAAATTATTTCTAACTAAATACAAATATTATATTATTTATTAATCTTACTTATAGTTTAACTTCTCTTTTAAAAAATATATGAATAATTACACAAATGTTATGTTTTGACAAGGATAATAAAGTAATAATTTCTTCATTGCGCGTTCTTAAATAAAACCAAATAAAACGATGCAAATATGTTTTGCATATTGACACTTTTCTAGCATTCGTAAAATGTTTAAACATTAAATTATATTTCCAACTAATTTACTGATGACATTTTTCTATTCCACTATGATAATATTATTCATACAAATTATAGCCTACCATTTTCAAGGCATTTTTTTCTGTGTCTATATTATATTTATTAGAAAGTAAATGTTTTATGATAATAATAATTATTGTTATTAAAACACTTTTGAGTATCACTTCCGCAATTCACGAAATATTTTGTTTTATTAATATGTGTTGAACTCTGGTTGTGAAATCGCTCTAAGACAAATAACAGTACTCGTTTGTCATTTCCATCAATCAGTTTAAAATTAATTTACCTAACCTTGTGTTAGCAGTCTTTAATCTAAAATTTTAATATTGACAATCTATATTTCTCTGTATCTTTATGATAAACCATATATGTATAAGTTAGTCTAATATGTAATCTATTTATAAAAAAAAAAAATAACTACTTCTTATGACATTTAAAATTGTACTTTATTACATTTTAATCATGTTATAGTACGTTGTCATTTTGTTGCTATGTTGTATGTGTAATTTAAAGTGCATACCTAAATTCTTATCTTAAAAACATTATTAACTAATTTTAAAATATTGTTAAGCATTTAAATGAGTTATTTCCCACAATATTAATTACTGGTATTAATTTTGTATAGCATAAATGATCGTTAAAATAAAAAATAAAAATATATGACGGTTAAAGATCTTTAGAAAATTATCTTATTTTTGTACGCATAACCATTGATTTTAGAATAGATAGGTATACTTTAAAATATTTTAAAATCAACAGTATAACTATGAAATATTAATTGTGAACATTATTTACCACTATTTGAAAGTTTTTTAACGGTATATTAAATATATCAACGTACAACCACTGGTCACCGGTAGTTAGATGATAAACTTTATATTGCAAAGTAGTAGATCGATAACAAACAAGTAAACCATATTGAATTTTATATGTTACTGAAGTGTCTACGTTTGCATCGATCTGACGATATTTTAGCGTCGACGCGTTTAAATAATTTAACCGACGATCTGTTGGATTTTCAGGCTTGAGCCGCGAGAAGGAAACGGTGGTACAGCAAGTGGTGAGCAGAAGCACGGCGGTGCACGCAGTGATGACTACCAGCGGTACGTCATTCGCGGTTCCGGCGGTTCCAAACACCGCCTCCATAGTGGACACGACTGTGGGCTTGGCCGACTCTACGGCCGTAGTGTACACGGACGTAATACTCAAAAAGACTGGCGTGAAAAGGGCATGCTCGGATCCGGGATACCAGTTCAGTCACAGGTGAGTTGGCGCGTACAAATCTCTGTGTCAAGCAAACGGCCTCGGCGACGAATTCGGAAAATAATACGCGTGTCGATGTGATTCTCCTCGGAACACTTGAAACACTGCGTGACACGCTAACAAAGCGAGAAAAAAAAAAGGGAGACAGGCTGACAGACAAAAAGAGAAAGAAATGAGAATAAAATCTCATAAACTCTGTAGGCTTTTGGAATTTGTATTTGGGTGTTTTCTTAAATTGAATACGACAGCGTTTGTCCACGTCTAGCGTCCCAATCAAATTAGCCATGTCGGTTTAAAATACGGTGTTTCTGGATTTCTCGCATCCCTCGGATTCAGAAGCTTTCGACTTAACTATTTAAACCACCGATGCATATATCCTTTCATGCATAATTGACAAGGCCCTGTCTGGTACGCCAATAAAAACTTTTGTTTTTTCAATTGCAAACTTTTATTTTCTAAGCCACTATATATCAGAAAATACCTACTTTCCTTAAATGTTTATAGCAAATAGCTCAGTGCATAATTGATGACAAATTAGAAATGTTTTAATTTAAAATATAATATATAATATGGTTTAATATAAAGTATAATATAATCTCATAATGTACAACCATGTTAATAACTTAAACAACAGTACATGCAGTCAAATATTCAATTATCATTAGTTCGTCATCATTAATTAATAGTGTCTACCGACAAACTTTACTCGAATATATCTCGCATAAATACATACTTTTATAGGATACTTCCATAAAGTGTCAACTACACTTTTCAGGTCTTAACCTTTAAATTTTAAAATCTCATGCAATAATGTCAAAAGTAATAAAATAGTAGTTTTTAAATTTATCATCATAAATTTCACTTCATCAGAACAAAGTTTTACTTAACCATGAATAATATTTGAAATAAAAATATACTGTATAAAGTACAAGCTATTAAATTGATTCGAAAAAAAAACTTCCTCGAATTACGTTCAACTTTCTCTTTATTGGATTAAAACGGTTTTGTTACTAAAAATTAAATTGTTCTCACTACTATCTATTTTTATACTACTCTGATAATTTTTTTTAAAATAACTCTCTAATGATTCTCAAATTTAAGACTTAACCCAACTCAGTTTCTTAAGATAAAATTAAATACAATAAAAATATTCATACCTACCAAAAAATTTGAAGCAATTAACAAAAATTTTGATACAGCACATTAACAATTATATTAAATTTGGACAAAAATATACTATCTTAAATTTATTCTTAAATGAGCTTTTTTTATTCTCAAAAAAGTTCTAGGTTGGCGGTTATTTTCTTGACTTTTGGTTAATTTCATGATTTTCACGAAAACTGTTAAACACTTCAAACTTATTTCTTAAAAAAATAATATTTTATAAAATATTTATATTATTTTAAATATCAGTCGAGGAATGCTACATAAAGTACATCGTTGTAAAATCAACAATTCAACTCCGAATTTAAACAATACAAATCTGTGTCTGTAGTACTGTCAGAAATGTCACTACGATAATATTCGATGAAAAGCCAAAAACTTACAGTCAAGTAGGCCTACCTGTAAACAGATTCCTCGAGTCGCCTCATCACCCGCATTCCAAACACAGATATCATCAAAAATGTGCAACAACCGAGCTGCCTCGTGCACGAGATTCGATCGCATATCTCTCGAGTCGCATACGAGTGTGTGTGTGTGTGTGTGTGTGTGTCTGTGTGTGTCTGTGTGTGTGTGTGTCTGTGCGTGTCGATTCAACGATCGGTCTATTAATCTCTGACCCGTAATGGGATTTCGTTGCAGCAGCACCAGCCCACAAATAGATATTAATTACTCCGGTTCGCCGTACACACTGAATCACGGAAACGGTGGCGGTGGCGGTGAAAAGGAAACCGATAACCGGGGCTATTATTCGCCGGGACTCAACGACGATATATTTCCTAACGTACAAGCCGAAACTATGCTCTTACAAGCCGTCGACTCCGTGCAGCTGGCCAATACTATACAGGTAAAACGGACCCACCGCAGTCCTATAGTGTTATAATAATCCATAGTTGTAGTAGAACCTAGCAATAATGTGAGTACGTAAAATAGTACGAGTAGATAGCAGTAATCGTATTCATTCGCTGTAGCCATGATTTTTCGAACAAGTAAATCGATGTAAGGAAATGACCATGGCACCGCGAACAGGACTTTAAAAAATACATATACATATTTCTTAACCCGTCCCGCCCCTGTTAATTTATTGGTATAGTTTAAATCGTTTATTGTTAATACCATAAAATAAATAATCAGCCATGTACCGCATACGAAAACACGTATTCCAAAAACTAACCGCACCATATACCCTACCGTAAAAACAAAAAATCACAGCTAATAACCACCGTTGCCAAAGCTTAATTAAGAAAATAAATAAATAATTTGCAAACACGATCGTGTTTCAAATTAATTCTTTATATTCCACGAAATATGTGATCTTCGCCAAACCTAATTATTACCACCCCATAACTTAAACCATTACTACAGTTATGACCGTGTACACGTTTTCATTTATATTTTGAAAAAATACTCTATTTTTTTTTTTTTTTTTTTTTTTTTATTACATTCTACTATTTATAGTTAAACGAGAACCTCGTACATTTTTAAACGTATAGATTAAAATGGAAGGGGCCAGTCGCTGTCGATTAATCAAAAAAACTCCGGAAACGCCGTCTGCATTAATCATCAGAACACCAACGAGCTTTTATCAGTACACAAAACCCCTTCTAAAATTTGCTTTCCTAAAGACTAGGTCCACTGGAGTGGGAATTTCGGTAACATGATTGTTATTCAACCGGCGGCGTTAATCGATTTTTGCCCTTCGCTTCAGAACACACAGACAACAAACAAAAAATTGATTAGACTTAACAAAAATACAAATGAATAAAATACCTATCTATAAACAGGCCATATTCTTCTTAAACTCAAGTGAATACTGAATGTATTTTTTCCATTTTCAAGCTTAGATATTATAATTCTTTTTTCGAATGTTTGAAATTAATTTTTTTTACGCCGTCTTATTGAAAAATAATTACGTGATTGCATACTATAATAAACCATTATAAATAGTAATTATCTCATATATTTGTATTTGTCAATCACCGTATTTTATTGAATAGCTACGATTATATCAATATTAATAATTATAGATAGGCATTAATAACTTATTCAAACATACGAATGTAATCATAATTTTAGTTATTTTATACTAATTAATATTTAAACATATACACACAAATTATTTGAAATCAAATAAACCAATATACTATAGTCAACATTTACATTATCTCTAAATAAACAATTTTGCAAAAATAATCCTTTGAAGTGTAGACCAATTCAGTAGGTCGATAAAGTTTTAGTACGACGACGGTTTCCCCTTTCGTCTACGCTCGTTAGTAATAAATAAACGAGATTTCTTCCGCTCTTGAATCGTGTGTACTCTGGTACGTAAATTGTAAAACTTTATATGACTATATATACACAGATAAGTATAAAACGAACTTTGTGTTTGATAGTCGATTCTATTGGACCAAAGGCTATAGTAAGCTACTGGGTTGCAATTGCAAATATAAATTTATTCAGTGCATTAAATACACACGGCCACGCAGAGAATCCATTTCGATTTTTATCCTTTACCTGTATATAAATTTATTTTTGTTTATTATTTGTTTTTTATTCAATTTACTAAACGTATGGATACGAAATTGTCAATAGTTCACTTGTAATAAAATTTAATGACCAACCACGACGTGTATAAATATACTAAATATTGATATGATTGAAAAAAAATATATTCCCGGCTATATGAAAACATAAATTACCAAATGCCTTTAAAATAAAATACTTACATATTTTTAATGCTATTATAAACTACGCTTGTTAACAAAATATTAATTTATATAAATTAAACCATCATTAATTTAAAACTGATTTTAAAATATTTTTATTTTTATTATTATTAGGCGACAGACATGCAAGATATGTCGTGTTTAGATGATTACGACGGAATGACCGATCTTCAAAACAATGAAGATTTCCAAGCCGTATTAAACTCTCCACTATCAGCTAGCTTAGCTGATCTAGCGTATAGTTCAGGACAAACCATGTTTACAGATTTAGGTAGATCACCTCTTCCATCCCCAAGTTTTACCTACCCTACTCCGCCAGCTAGTCAAGAAGGCCAGTCTCCTTCGCTAAATTTTCATTCGGTTATGTCAAACGGTCATCTTGGTGACTTTTTTTATTCATCTGACATGTCAAGTTCGGAAGCTGTTGAAGCAGCTTTAAGTGAAGTGTTGCCAAATTTTGAGTCTTCTACAGATTCACCATTATCAGCCAATACACCAGTTTCATCGCCAATGTCAATACATAATACATCCGCTGCACCATCACCATTACCTAATCATCATCAACACACACTACAGGTTTACATTTTAACATAATATTTTAAAATAAAACTTATTTCTAATGATATTAAACACAATTCAGGTAATGATGCCAAATTCAGAAGACCCATTATTATCCAGCAATCCTAAAGAATTTAGGAAGAAGTTCGATTACCAAACATGTCGCTTATATGGGGTCAATGGAACCATGGCCCAAGTTATTGATGGCAGTCAATTTTTAATCGACAAAAATGGAGATTTAAAATTAGTCCAAGCCAGTTACCAAAATCCTGGAACCATGTTCGTACAAACAGAAGCCCAGTTGATTGAAAAACATATACCAGTTATTAAACAACAAAAACCAGACAATAATCAAAACTTCGAAGATATAGATGACATTTTCCTAAATCCATCAAAGTAAAAATTGATTAACTTATTTTATGTTAACATTTTACACAAAACATTATATAAACTCTTGTCATTATATATTTTTAGTATTCCGCCAAATGTTACAAATCGATTAAACAGAAAACGTTGTTTTGGAGAAACTATGACGTACAAACCGTTCCGATCCAGATTACGTAGTCATAGACTTGGTATGCTAAATGAACCAACATTGCAATTCACTCCAAAACCTATGTTGAGTCCTTCTAGAAACGGAAGAGGTCTTTATTGGCAAGCAGTGACTTCGTGGCCAAGCTCTTCAACTGTCAAAGGTAATTTGTTTAATTTATTCCTAAATGCAATAGGGGCTGTAGAGCTCCTGTGAGTTAAAACTGTAGATATTCAAAATATTTGTTTGCATTATATAATTTTATGATTACTAATAATAGTACTAATGTTATATTGAGCTTATAAATAATTTCAAGGGCACTTATTTATTTTCGAAGTTGAGTTGTACAATTTTTACAGTAAAAAGATATTTAAAGCAAATTTCAAATATTAATTTAATATATTCCTGTATTTCAGAAGTTATTGTTGAAGATTGTGTTGGACTAGATTCACCGCCAGAGTGCGATGTACTACCACACATTAATCTTGGTCCAAATTTTCAAGCTTTAATACCACCAGTAAGCAAAATCAGACCAATTCGAGAGCCATCTAGCGATTATTTATTATGGGACCCATGTATTACAAATTCAGTTTCTGACAGAGAAGGTGAATATGATTAACAATTAAGCTAATTTTTATATAAGAGTTTTATATTAATCTTAAAACGTTCTAGTTGAAATGTACATGGACTTTGCTTGCTGTGCTGCAGTACCAGGTGGTGGAAGAAACAAAGAATATGCTTTACATTTACTACATCTTTGCAAAGGAAATGTTCAGGTACGTTTAAGTAATTTTTTTTTTTTGATGAACAATTATTAACTTAATGGTTTGGTTATCAGGAAGCAATGTTAAAATTGATGCAACCAACTCCGTATCTCCCACAAGGACATCCTTTGATGAAATTTGAATACACAGAATCTGATCACTGGACCCCAAATGAAGTATCTATGTTTCATAAAGCTATATTCAAATATGACAAAGATTTTGCATTTATATCGAAAGAGGTAAATTTCTCTTACCAACTATTTTTAATTCAGAATTTAATAACTTATATGAGTTTTTTTTATAGTTGGGAACAAAAACTATGAAACAATGCATACAGTTTTATTATTTGTGGAAAAAAGTTTGTCCAGAAGATTATAAACAGTTTCAATTCCAAAGACGAAAGTCGAGGAATGAGGATACAATGGTAAATCCGAAATTAGACATTCCTGTAAGTACTTTATGAGTGTCCATGTTCAATAATATCCTTATTGGAATCTCTTTATTCCTCTCTTAATAAAAAACACTCACGTTCTTGTGTTAAATTTTTTTCGTTTTTTTTTTTTTATTTATTTTTTCCTCTCTAGGCTAACGACCTGGTCACTACCAGTTCGGAGGACCAACAAACTTTCGTTTGCGAATTCTCAGACTGTTTGTCGGTGAGTTGGATCCTTTCTTCCTCCTCATTCGTATTCCTGTAAAATATTAATGTACAATAAATAATAAAAACCTATTCATTGTTTTTATTTTCAGACATTCAGCAACAAAATAGGATTAGCAGCTCATATGAGGCTACACACAAATGGAACTCCAGATCGAAGGCAAACCCTGACACCAACACACATTGATCCGAATTACGAAGAATTCCCTTGCAAGATCTGTGGAAAGTATGTTATTTCAACTACAATTCTTTCAATTTAGTGTATAAATTTCTTACGGATAAATAACATTAAATTATGTTTTAATTTTAGAATATTTACCAAAGTAAAGAGTCGAAGTGCCCATATGAAATCTCACAGACCTCCTGACGCAGAACCAAAGAAACCAAAATTGGACCAGACTGTCGATTACGGTCAAATGATGCAACTCAAGACGGTTGCAACGCCAATTCAATTACATAGACAATGCTAAATGAACGCAAAACTACACTCAAAATGAAGCTCAATTTTAAACAGAGCTCGTACAATCAATAAAAACCCTATTTCTGTGGTTTTTACTCTATAAGATGTCCAAGCAATATACATAAATATAATATTAGTAATAATATATACATAAATACGTGTGTGCGTATTTTCAAAAATATTACTATGCAAAAGTTCTTCCTTGGTGAATTCTATAGCATTTAAATAAGCAATAATCATTTCTTGGACAATAATAAATTCAAACAATAAATTGTGCCAATCAAATTCACACTAGAATCAAAATGCTCAGTACGAAACATCACAACTTTCTTTAGTCTCTAAGCTTTTGAAAACTAAAAACCAAAATTCGTCAATTAACACATAATGTGGTCAAAATAATTTCAAATGTATGTGTATGCGTGCGTGTGTGTGAGTGTCCATGTGTATATAAATATAGTGTACATTTCTAACCAGTAAAAAATATACGTAATACAATTTTAAAACACTCATTTGAAACACGAATTTGGTACTTAAAAAAATAAATAATTTAAGTTATAAACTCATCATGTTATTAAAATATAATAATTATAGTGCCAAATAAGAATATTTTCCCCTTTGTATTTTTATATCCTGTTAATATAATTTTGTGAATATTAATAAAAAATACAAAGAAAAACATTATCAAGTCGATGCTCAAATTCTTTGACTTACATTTTGTAAACTAATACTTAGTTCCAGTCTTCCCTTCCATTATAAAAATCCGAAATTCAAATGGTAGTGAATAGCTATATTATTGCTGTTATTTATCTTAAGTGAATGTAAATGAATACACATAAATATTTAATATTTATTACTTTACTATTAAATCAATGATTTAAAATTATATTTATAATAACACTGGTAAAAATAAAGTGTTAACACAGGCGCTAGTCTTCATGCATGTTTTTAAGCGTAGATAAATATATATATATATAAATACGCGTCGCTTTTATGTTATAAATAATTCGTATAAAAATGTATATTTGAGATGTTAGTGATTAGGTAGTGGTATAGTATAAAAAGGTTTACTCTGCGCCTTTTTATTGCGCTACTTGAGGGTTTTTTAATGTTATTTGTTGCCAGTATTGATTTTTGTTATGTTTATTTACATTGAAGGGAGCAATTTTACATCACTCCCTCTATCCCTCCCCAAAATGCCCTTTTTTTTCATCCGGTCCCAAGCGTTGCCGGTACATTCCATCCTTTCCCCTACGTTCGAATTTTCCGGCTAAGCATTGTGCGCCCACCAAAGGGTAATGATAATAATTAAAGGAAATAACGCTAAAAGAAATTGTTATAGTTATTTTAGATAAGAGTTATACGAGATTTAAAATTAAAATTATATTTAATGAATATAATTATCTTAAATTATTTAATAGAAAAAAATATTTAAAATATTTTAGTACATTCTTAATATATTATTATGGTAAATTTTTAGTATAGATCTAAGTTATTATGTGTTTAGAATGTTCGTTGTTGTTTTGGGCTCGAAAGTTAAAGGAAAAAGTTATTGTAATTTTTTTTTTTTTTTGTTTTTAGTTAATTTACTGGCTAACTAATTGTACATCAGTACATCTATGCAATAAATTTATGTAACTAAATGTTTGTAAAAAAAAAAAAAAAAATAGTTATGTTTCGTTTCATTTAAACTATTTCTATTAAATGTATTATTTTATCGGTATTTTATCGAATCATTGTATACAATCAACAGTGTATAATTTATTGTACTATTTATTTAATCTAATTGTTGTGGTCTTTCAAAGAGGAAACGAATAAATAAATATTAATTAATGGTTATTAACTGTGGTATTATGTATTAATTATTATTTACGAAGTGCCTATTGGCTATTTATCTCCTGACGTTCCTAATAATAATATTATTATAGATAGGTATATCATACATCAGAAGAAAGAATACAGTTTAAACATACTACATAAAAGAAGAATATTTTAAGAAGTATTCCTACTTTTTTTTTAATTTTTAAATGTATTATGCGGTTCATGTATGTTATTTATTTTTATAGAAATGTATTTATGTCAATCTTTGAATACAAAAACACAAGGATTAATATCATTAAAACTGTTATCAAAATAATATTGAAACGCTTCATATGCGGATTGATGGTTCGATTTAAGACTGCTGTAACAACTATTTGCATGTAACTAATGAAAAATTGACAGTTTTGGGCCAATATTATAATTATCGATTGAACAACCAGAAAATGTTTTCACTTTTTTATCAATCCCAAACTAAGTTGTAATAAATTGAAAAACAACAACTGTATATATTTGAATATTTGGTCAAACAGATTTGCATGCGTTATGAATAACTATTTTTAAATCGATGACAAATTACAATATACAATTATATCTTTTATGCATTTAGTATTCAGATCATATGTATAAGTAATAGGTATTCAGTAGTGAATTGTTATGGCATATAGTAGAGGGGTGTTATACGAGGTTAAAATGCATATATCTACAGTATACACACTTTTCTATTGTTTGTTTTTTTAGTGTTAACCCTCTAAATCAGGGGACTCTAAACTTTTTTATTCGTGGGCTACATAAAATATCAAAAGTTCTCAGTGGATCAAAATGTATAAACACAAATAATTTTTAATTTTATAGATATATATATATACACTTATAAATATTTAAAAAATAATTCTTATGGTTAACTTAAATGTACTTAAAGTTAATTTTAATAATGATTATTTATTAATGATAAATACTTATGTTTTTAATTTACAATTCTCCGATGGTACTTATTTAGTAAATATCAAATGGTGATTACCTATCAAAAAGATTTTGAGAACCAATAAACTTTTATCCACCTTATACCATTTATAGATATATTTAATTTTGTAAAGTCTTTCTGAATTTATGTTTCCAAATATGTCCTTTTCTTTCATGTTTTCTTGGATTTTCACTGTTTTTGTTTGGAAAAGCACCACAATAAATAAATACAAAAAGACCATTTTAAAATTCACTTGTATCTGATAGATATATAATTATTTAAGAAAGAATAAAAACAATATTATTTCATGTGAAAAGAAAAACATTTTCTGACTTAACGATAAGGTTTTTATCATTATCATCTACATAGGTAGAAAATCCGTATGCACATGAATATTTTAAATAATATGTCACTACGCGTATGGTATATCTTATATAGTATACTGAATTACAACATTATCTATAATCGTCTGTACGTTGATAATGTATTCCATACGCATTTACTCATACAACTTAGTTATTAAAGTTGTGATTGGTTAAACTTCGTAACATTCTATAAGAAGTTCTATATTTTTTAAGTTTAATTTATTCTTTGAGTGGATTTAGCATACACCTAAATTTACTCAAAAACTTTTTTTTACGTTCTCTTCTAGGGTTGAATTCACATGAGCCTGTAAGTATAAAGATATACGCTTAGTCAATTAACTTGGTAAATTGTATGGTTAGAAGTAAGTTAACGTAAATTGTATTGGTTAAATTTTTTTTCCAAACAAAATGTATTATCTTATTATTATTTAGTAAATATTATTATTTGAAATCTACACTATATAATATGATTACTAAATAAATATAACTGTGTTTACTTTATATCTTATAAGATGACATCAATAATAGATTATAAAATGGTGAACCGCGATAAATTATAATTTTAACATGATTAAAACTAAGCATTATATTCCTTTTATTATCATCATAATTGTATTACTGTTAATTAATTCGTACATTGCCGAGCTTACTAGTAAACTTATCAGTGATTTATCAATAAAATTTGTTGAGGGTACACTCGACACAATTTTACCGATTGGCGATTGCAATCGAAAACCATAGGAGAGTGCTAAAAAAAGGTTTCTTTCAACTATATGACATAATTTTCAAAACAATTATAATTTTGTGATAAAAATAGATTTGGTCTATTCTACGACAAACAACGAACACCATCATGGTGTACAGTTTTTGCCAGCAAGAAATAAAAAAAAAAACATAAATATTATTCGGTTTTCAATAAAATAAATCGCTCATTACAAAAACAATAACTATTTATTTTTTTTTTCGTAAAATCGTTGAAAGTATATGAACCCGGAGTTTTATTAAAAATCTTGAGATTATATTCAATGGGAATACCACTGAAACTAATAAATTAATTATAAAATCAACACAATAAGCACAAACATAAATATATACAATAAGACATATATTAAAAAAAAATAAATAATTTTCAATTATAAAATAAAAATATTTTCTGATACATTTATTTTATAAAATTTGTTTAATTTGAATGTATAAATTATTAATTAATTAATAATACATTTTTTAATTTAATAAATTAGCTAATTCAATAAAAATAATTTCTATGTGGTTATAGGAAAAATATAGTGTTGGACATTTAATTTTTTTATCTCGATAACATGATAATGATTAATGTTTAAAACAAAATATAAATTTATTTTCTATTATAATATTGAAACATTTAAATAAAGAGAAGGTAATAAAAATATAAGAATTATACTTTAGGATAATCAATTTCTGGAAGTTTAAAATAAAAATATTATAATAACAACTAACATTATTAATACTATCATTAATTTTATAAAAACGTCATACTATAAAACCAATAACATTGTTTAAGAACTAAAAGAACGTCAAAAATACGTAATTAACACATATTATTATTTTATACTATAACAGTACATTCATCACAACAAAAACCTACATTCCAGCAAATTTGATGTTATAAAATTGAAACATGTTTAATTCGGTAATATAATATTATACAAGCAGCAACAAGCCGCTCATTGCGGACTATAATACTCGATTTAAAAGAATATACAACTAAAAAAAAACCTAACTATTTATCGTGTGAAAATATTGTGATTTAAAAAAGAATAATTTTGATGGTTTAAAAGTTATTGTCGGACAATTGCTTCCGTGTTTAAAATGTTTAAATATAAGTCGCATTTTACGCATAACGTCTTAAAAATCACACTATCCGATAATCTGTATCTAAAATGCATGCGTGGTTAGACAAAAAATAAAAATTTATAAAATAGCGAACATACCTACATTAAATAATATTATACTCTTATAATCTGTTATTTAAAGTTTAAGCAAGTGTATTATTATAATTAAAAATAGAATAATTAATTGGTAATATATACATTGGATAGGCATTAGGCACTGATGTTATCAGATATATTATTTGCGCAAATAGTTAAATTCTGTCGAATATCTTAAAACAAAATCAAAAAATTATATTAGACCTGGGGTTTACAAAGTTTTAAAATTATCACCAACAAGAGAATATTTATAATTTACCCAATAGCCAATACGATTCACCGGGATTTTGTACAAAATATTGCATTTATTCGGCTGTGGATTTAAATATTTCTAAAATAATTGATTTTCAATTAG